CAACGTCTGTTTGATGGAGTGACGGTTGGATCTTCTTACGATATGTCCAGCAATTGTCATTTTAACTTTTCTTTAATTCGGCAATGACGTCATATACTATTGTTTGAGCTCCTATTCTTTCGTTAATCTGCCTATGTCTACTTGTTATTCACAAAAATCACTTTACTTTAGTCTTTCCGTATTAAAGTGAGTAGTTTGAAGTTTAATGAATAGCTTTCAGTTTTATGTTTCACCTTACGCATCCGTAAGTCACCATCGGGAACACACACTGATCGACACCATTTCATTTCAAGAACAAAGGCAGTTTCCCGGCGAAGAATATTTTCCATCTTCCACAAACTCTACATACGATTTGTACTCCAGTTTGTTGAACTGTGAATAACTGCCGCAGATGACAGCAGCAAATCTGATTGGTTAAGGGCTTGTTTTCGAACAGCATCATTATAAGCATCTAGCCTTTGCCTCAGATTCATATTCGACGTATCTTGTGTCGAGTAGCCATTCATGGCGCGCATTTTTATCTGTTAAACATTTTAACAACATGATCGGCAATGCTGATTGTAATGAAAGGTATTAAAGTAAAAACCTTTTGTCGGACGGAGTTAACGAAGCCAACCAAAAATAGAAATATAATTCTTTCATGTCTAAAATTTTTCCCTTATTACTGTTCCTCTAACTTTAGAAACTTTCCGAATCAAGGTATTCAAAGTTTGTCTGATGTATGTTTGTATCCTTCCATATGCATTGGTATATCATCATGATCGATGCCTTCATCATATAGGTACGCTCATACTGTGGGCAAATGACTTATCAGTTGACCTTATCAGCAAATGACGAAATCGAGTCTGATCAATCACGTTAAAAATTTATACAAACATCATTGTAGCATAACATACTATCATCATCATGGTGAGGATAAGCAGAAAAGGCGATCTTGAAACAAGAATCAACTCAAACTAGCCCTGATGGTTTGTGCCATCAACCAAAGGTGCCTTCAATAAAGCCGACAACGAATCTCAAAACAGTCTAAGGAGGTAAAGGATTTGGAGCCATCAACTATTTTCGCTCCCCGAGGATTACAGCAAGTCCCTCCCAGTTTAGAAAGAATTAAATCAGCACTTCTGCATCTTAACATTTTAAAGGATCTGCTAGATTCTTAGCCGCGTACGCACAATCGATGAAATGCCCGTTGATGACTGGCGGAAAGTTGTACTGTTACGAAGCAGCTATTAAATTAGTCTAAACAGCTGACATGAAGGTTTGTAGATAAAAGGATGAAAAGCCGACACAAACAGGTAGGTCAAATGGACATCGACCAGAAGAGATATTTCTGGCACTAGGATGTCAGTGTGGCAAATGGAAAACGTTATATGATTTATATCGTTTCTAAGTCGATAGTGTGATCCTTTGACGAAAGTCTTATTACCAACATATTACGCGAGCGAGTGAGTGACAGAGCGATACTGATGCTTCTAGCCGTATTTTCGGGATATTTAACAGAGTAAATCTCTTGAAACTCAGTGGTTACTTGGATCGACGAGATCAAGTAATTTTTTTTCAAAAAGAAGGCAGCATGAGGCACTGATCTGGCTTCATTTGAAACAAACATGACCGATTCCTACCAGGATTTGACCGGCTAACCGTCTGATTATCTGCCAGACATTCTCCTGACCGAATAACGACGATTACGTCTCTGCAAAAATAGGATGAGAACGATGGAAGGAGGAGGACACTACTGTCGAATTAAAATGAATACCTAATTTGCCAGAAATATCAAGTCGTTTTCGAAGAATCCGCTAAGCACAAACAGCACATAGCCCAAAATCTCTAGGATGGTTTCACAAAGAAGAGCTTTCGTTTTTCAGTCACTGTCCAGCTGTGTACCACCTCCGGAGTGATGGCCATATTAGCCATTAATCATTTCTCAGCTATGACCTCCGTAAGTGTCAACCGGAACCATTTGAGGTCGAGTCGACGATATCGAATACGCACACATACTTAAGACCAAACGAGACATTCTAAGCAGAGAATGTTCTCGATCCGATACTCGCCATAACAAAACGTCGGTCAAAAACTGCACTCAGATAAAGTGGTAACAATCGCGGCCTGGCTCTTAACGATAGCACTGTTTACACGGTGTGCGAGAAACAAACAACCAGCCGAGTGAAGCATCGCCTTGGTAAATAAGACCTCTTTGCCGAATCACTCAAGTAGGAGGGGTCTAAAAGAACAAACGCCACAGCATTCATTGTTCTGATTGGTTAACTGCGCAGTGAAATAATTCAAGAGCGTCAAGCAAGAAAAGACACCACAGAAAAGTTCATTCAAACATGCTGCGGAGAGTCAAAGAGGCACTGAACCCGCGACTCAATTAAACCACGCGTCAAATGCATACCTGTCGATCCTGCCACTCCTCCATTTGCCGCAAACGGACCATTATTTTGAACAGTTTGCATAAAACGAGACGCAACGCCGCCGGTGACTTGAATAAAAGTAATGTCGACCTTTCATAAACCAGTACTGGTACGAAACAACCACTTTATTTCTAACAATGCAATCGACGGTATTAGAGATAAATTTTATCACCTTCCCTAAGTTAGACGAAATCAGCAGGAGTTAACTGTCCTATTTCCTGAAGAAATTTTTACACATTATCATATGCTTATCTCAAATACTTGAACACTTGTTCACTGTCCATGTAAACAGTTCATCACTCAGTTTCGATGAGCCTTTGTCCCTT